TTGCAATTCACAGTATGTTGAAGTTCTTGTCGAAGGTGAGAATCGAGTTCAACGCGCTGGACCCACGAATAGCCTCTTGCATGGAGTTCTTGGCGCAGTGCAATGCTCGCAAGGCCAAGGAATCAAACCCGTCTTGCCAGGTCCAGGTCAAGCGCCGCACGGACGATTATCCGCCGAAGATTACTGTTACCTTTGTCAACGGCGTTGAGGAAACCTTTGATGCTACCTCAACCCCGGCCCAGACAATTCGCACCTTGATTCTTGACAAGGGTAGTCTCCTCGAGACGGAGCAGATGTTTCGCGAAGCCGGTGAGCAATGGCCTGTTATTGTACCTGAAGAAGAACTTCGCCAACCGTTTACCGGAATTAAGGTAATTGATTGAGCCTGTTTTGGATTTTGGGATGTGAATTGAAATGGGTTGTGGTTGGTGTGGGGATTTTTGTGTTTCTTGGTTTAAACAATTCGTCGAACAGGTAAATCTAGTTAAGTAGTTTGGGGTCTAAAGGTTTATCTCCGTTGGTATTTACTTTTCCATTAGAGCACTTATTTTAAAAATTTCCTCATTAAAATTTTGATAAGATCTTTTTCCAGAAATGTTTAGACTAAAATTTTGAATATTATGGTGTGAATGATAATGGCTTGTGCTTATGTATTGGTGGTTTGGATTTCTTGATTGAGACTATTTGTCGTGCAAATGGTGCATTTACTTCTCCACAGTCCAAGGTTTTCATATCTTTCATTGCTTTTAATTGGTTCCTTTGTGCTGTTTGGCTCTTCGACTCATCATGATTTGGCTAGTTACCAATTGTTTTTAAAGAAGCTTGTGCATTAATTTTGTTCTTTAACACATAATTAAGTAACTGTTTTTATTACATTTTTATGGATTCATTTTCGATGTGAGAAAGAGGAAGAACTGCACAGTAGGAACATGTGTGGGAAGCCTACTTTCATCAACGGATCATGAATCATACTCATGTTTACGAAGGGTCAACCCCTGGCTTTGGTTTCTGGTTTGTCTTTATCTTGCCCAACCCTAGTAATGCAACCTATCTTGCATGCTCGATTGAGTTGTCAGAAAGCCTCTACTTGAGAGCAGAAAATATACACATATTTATATATATATTGCAGATTCGGAGTTGGAACACTCCAACCTATTTCTTAAACAAGAAAGCAGTTCTCTCACTTCCCCATTGGTTTCTCTCTCTTGATTATTGTCCGAAATGGCATAAAAGAATTTTGGAAGTTTTCAGAAAGGAATTTTATGGCCTTTTGAAAACACTTTAAACGATGCACCACATAGAAAAGGGGTTTAGAAAGACTATAATGGTTGTGATTGTGGTGTCTATAAACATATTATTTTATGTCAAATAATATATTTTAGTGTGCGATTAATCAAGTAATTTTACTCAAGGTCATTTAAGTAAATGAAAAAATAAATTAAAATTGTGGTGTAACTATTAAAATATGTGGTGGTAATATAATTAGTGGTAATTACATAAAATCAGGTGTTTAAAGATTGATTTTTAAAAATCAGGTTTAAAGTTTATTTATTCAAAAATCAGGTATTTTATTTTACATATCAAACCCTAAATCTATCCAAATCGTAAACTAATCCATTTATCTCAACTCTCTGACGGTCTATCCATCTCTCCACCCTCTCACCATTTCTCTCCACCGCCCGTCGCCTCCAACGTCACCGTCAGTCTCTCCACCACGGCTTCGCCCTCCCCTCCCTCTCCCTCTCCCTCTCCCTCTCCCTCTCCCTTCACAATAGCGTCAAGGCAATGCTGTTGTTCACTGCAGCATCGCGACTTTGGCAGCAGCGCCTTGACGCTGCTGTAAATCGCAACAGCGCCTCAACGCTGTCGTCGTTCACAGCAATGTCGCGACGCTGCTGTGGGTGTGTGGGTTGGAGTCGCGACTTTGTGGTAGTTGCTGTGGGTTTGTGGCGGATCGAAGTTAAGGGAATTGGAGAGGCGACAGATCTATGGGTGTTGGGCGGATCTATGTGAGTGACTGTTGTTGGTGGCTGCTGTGTATGTCTGGCTGCTGTGGGTGTGTGGCGGATCGAAGTTGAGGGAATCGGAGAGGCGGCGAATCTGTGGGTGTCGGGCGAATATGTGTGAGTAGCTGTTGTTGGTGGTTGGCTGTTGTTGGCAGTTTGGGCTGATATGTGGTGGTTTGGGTGGTGGTGGTTGTTTGTGTTATTGTTGGTGGATGGTTATGGCGATGGTGGCGGCGGGAATACGACGAAGAGTGTCTGTGACCAACTATTTGGTATATTTGTGACCAAGTATTGGTGGTGGATTGAGATTGTGGGAGGTGTTTTGGTGTATGTGACCAATTATATGGTTCTCTGTGGCTAACTATTAAACTGTGGCTTCAAAATTCGATTATCTGTGACCAACAAATTTGGAAATGTGATCTCTGTTATCTATAATTTTTTTAACTTGTGACCAATGAAGTCAATTGTAATCTCGAAATAATCTGTGACCAATTAATTTGATAAGTTGTGGTCGAAAATTAATTTTTAAATAATTAATAAGATATCTGTGACAAAAATGCATATAATTGTGACCTTATTTTAAAAAATTTTAAAAATTCGATTTTTACAACTTTTAAACTTGAACCCTGTTTTTTTGCATTGGTGTAACTTAAAACTGGATCTATGAATTTTTCCCATACAATTACCCATAAGAACTTTGGGCCTTTCCAGCAAAAAAAAAAACTTTCGCTTAGGCATCTGGCAAGATTTTAAAAGGAATCGAATAAAAATTGTTAGACGTTAGCCAAAACCCACAACGCCAGATTGAAGTGGTCCGATCCTAATATTTGCAATTCACAGTATGTTGAAGTTCTTGTCGAAGGTGAGAATCGAGTTCAACGCGCTGGACCCACGAATAGCCTCTTGCATGGAGTTCTTGGCGCAGTGCAATGCTCGCAAGGCCAAGGAATCAAACCCGTCTTGCCAGGTCCAGGTCAAGCGCCGCACGGACGATTATCCGCCGAAGATTACTGTTACCTTTGTCAACGGCGTTGAGGAAACCTTTGATGCTACCTCAACCCCGGCCCAGACAATTCGCACCTTGATTCTTGACAAGGGTAGTCTCCTCGAGACGGAGCAGATGTTTCGCGATGCCGGTGAGCAATGGCCTGTTATTGTACCTGAAGAAGAACTTCGCCAACCGTTTACCGGAATTAAGGTAATTGATTGAGCCTGTTTTGGATTTTGGGATGTGAATTGAAATGGGTTGTGGTTGGTGTGGGGATTTTTGTGTTTCTTGGTTTAAACAATTCGTCGAACAGGTAAATCTAGTTAAGTAGTTTGGGGTCTAAAGGTTTATCTCCGTTGGTATTTACTTTTCCATTAGAGCACTTATTTTAAAAATTTCCTCATTAAAATTTTGATAAGATCTTTTTCCAGAAATGTTTAGACTAAAATTTTGAATATTATGGTGTGAATGATAATGGCTTGTGCTTATGTATTGGTGGTTTGGATTTCTTGATTGAGACTATTTGTCGTGCAAATGGTGCATTTACTTCTCCACAGTCCAAGGTTTTCATATCTTTCATTGCTTTTAATTGGTTCCTTTGTGCTGTTTGGCTCTTCGACTCATCATGATTTGGCTAGTTACCAATTGTTTTTAAAGAAGCTTGTGCATTAATTTTGTTATTTAACACATAATTAAGTAACTGTTTTTATTACATTTTTATGGATTCATTTTCGATGTGAGAAAGAGGAAGAACCGCACAGTAGGAACATGTGTGGGAAGCCTACTTTCATCAACGGATCATGAATCATACTCATGTTTACGAAGGGTCAACCCCTGGCTTTGGTTTCTGGTTTGTCTTTATCTTGCCCAACCCTAGTAATGCAACCTATCTTGCATGCTCGATTGAGTAGTCAGAAAGCCTCTACTTGAGAGCAGAATCAGAACCTTGTTTGTAGGTTTCTGATTTGATTGGATCCAGGGAGGCTGGTGTTTTTCTCCTTAAAGAGGAAGCTATCCAATTACAGCATGCACTGTGATGTTTGGTACAGTGATTAATGAATAAAAGGATCATATTTTGCAATTTGCAAATCATACTGATGCAATATGGAAAGTATATTATAGGCGTAGAAGAAATTAAATCAATTAGGATTTTATAGTATTTTCCTAATTGATTATTATTGTGTTTTATTATGTTTGAAAGACAATGATTACAAGGGAAATAAAATCATTGTCTTTCAATCATAATAAAACCAATATTTGATAGTGGTTGCTATTAACTTTATTGAAATCTAATATTGATTTATTAGTTAGACCTTGAAATTGCCATCCTTTAAAAGGAAGTGGTGACAATTACATGGCTTATTGAAATATTTAATCCGTTTGAAAAAGGATAGCATAGCAGTAGGGATCGTAGACATGTAGTATTGAGCACTCTGGTCCCTTTTGTTGAACCATAATGTCTACGTTTTCGGATGTTATGAGTGCTTGTTATCTTCTTACTAATCTCGACTTTTTTTTTTGAGATTGACATCATCGATAGCTAACGTTCATAACAAACCAATGCAAGAGTAGCTTGAGATACAGTGCTGCTTAGAATGTTATGCATTTAAGTTCTTACTGGATAATGGAGTGCTTCTATCTGGCTTTTGATTTGTGTTGGCTATAATCGAACAAAAATGATTCTATATTCAGGGTAACTATAACTATGGAATCCCTTGTTTTTATTGCTACATAACATATCCCCTCCTGCCTCCCCAAACTAACTGGTGCAACTTTTTTCTCTACCCCCCCCACACCCCAACCCCCCAATTTCTTCTTCATGTTTGAATTTTTTGGTGGGGTGGCGAGATGAAGGTGTAGATCTACTGGATTTTCGCCTAGTCTAATATGTTGCCATAAATATTTTTTTTATGGTGCAGATATTGTGGAGCAATGATGGCATGCTAAGAAATAAGGTTTTATGAGTTGTAAATAGATATGCTAGCACATTTTTAAACATGTCATGATTTGTTCTTGCCTTAATAATTATTGTTAGTGATCATCCATTGGGATATTTCTATTATTTGCATCAATTGCTTCTAGTTTTCGACCTGCAAAATGAATATTTGTAGGGTTTTTACTTTCTTCACTTTCTGTTATCCAAACATTGGTACCTCTTTGAAATGTTTGCCAAATTTAAAGCACGTTTTGCCTCTTATAGTGGCAGCGCGAGGGTGTTGCTGCCTAAATAAGATGAGAAAAGGCATCTTCTAAGCCTAGCCAAACATGCATGAAAGAACAAAAGTTCACAATTTCACCATATAATGGATATCATATATCCATAACTTGTCTTACGACATCATAGTATTGCGCCCTTCCATTTATTGATTCCGTTTCCACTTTTGCAGCCAAGGAAAGCAGAAGAGAAGAAGCAGTGAGTATAAGTTGTGAAATTCAGTATGTTTGAACCGTTCTGATGACATCAAATCAACTGGTAAGAGAACTACAGTTAGGCTCAGTTTTGAGGTCAATGCTTTCTGGCACATTTGTTCTCGAGTTGGAAGAATAAAACATATTGGCCAGGGCCTTTATTTTTAAGTTTTTGAGGCTGAATTGTTCATCTTGTACGCCTGCGGAATATTCTTGGTTATTGAAAGATATTGTTGTTGCAGTCGTTGAAAGTAATCAGGGATTTTTTTTCATATCACACACACAAAACCTATGTTGGAATCAAACGAGGCAGTAAGAACATATGTAGGTAGCAGGCTTTAATAAGTGGCTGACACTTCTGACTTGAGTAGGTAGCAGGCTTTTAACACAATTGAAATGTAAGAAAGAAGAAAATTTATCCCATTTGAAATGGATGCTTCTTCAATTCACCATTTTCTCTCGAGTGGACGTTCCTACTAATTGGCAACTATTTTGCAAATTTATAAGCATAAATATGCTTAATACGGATTATTGTTGTGAAAAGAATGAAGTTAGTCATAAAAGGTTCAAAATGTGCAAAACTAGGAACTTACATGCGGAGCACGTGAGAAAATTAGTGCATAAAGTTTGGTACAAAGATTTTCACGAGGAAAATTATATATCATTAGAAAGATAATTAAATTGGAGTTCAACGCTTAAATATGTTGCACGTTTGAAGTTTAGGAAGTAAAACTGCAATTGCATATGATTGAGAACCAGAAAGCACATTCCAGAAAAGCTTAGGACTGCGACAGCAGCTGAGACCATTTTGTGGGGATTATCCCCTGTTTGCCGCTGAGACGAAGGATACACAAACATTATGAGCAAGATGTTGAAATTTGGATGTTGATTAGTTTAGTTACATATGAATAGATCGAATTTTATACTAGTGATGCACTATCTGGTGTCTATTTTTGTATCAATGTTTGACTTAAGCTTAAAAAACGTAAAATTACTTTTTAATTTTCTAGCATACATTTAGATATATTACCTTTCCTTCCTCGTTTTTAGCTTTATCTTTTAAAAACATACTTAATTTTTAAGTCGTACTTATTTACTTATAATTAAATCGTTTGAACTTAGGATCATGCTCGTCACGCCTCGTAACCAAACTAAGCTTAACAGATTTCATTATAATTTGAAGCGTGCCCTACAAATGTGGACTGTTCTCCATCTACGTAATCATGCATCGACTCGTTTTTAGCTTATTTTTGCACTTATTTTATTAATTTATTTATTTTTTTAAAAAAAGAGCCTACTCGTGAACGTCTTGTGTTGATTCGACTCGGCCATTGCCAACCATAGTTAACCTAACCGACAATGATTTTTGTTCTAATTTCTCCTTAACACTCTTTTAGTGTCCAAATCATACTTTTTAATTTATTCCCATACAGTCCACTACTTGCTCACGGTCCAAATTCTCACGGTTCTCTCAATTCACTCTCTCGCATCCACAAACACAGTTTTCTCTCTTTATTACAGAATTGAATCAGTTGATGGGTGGAAGCAGAGCAAGAAAAATGGGCTCTGTTTCTTTGAAAGTCGGAGATGGAACAGCAAGATTCAAGCGGGCGTCAGTGTGTTCATCAGCAGTTAATCTGTTGATGCTGTTTTCTGTAATCATTACCAACATTTTTGCTTTTTATGCATTCACATACCACCCTACGAAACTTCATCACAACCATAATCCCAAGAACATAGCTTTGATCTCGGAAAAAGTGTCCTTGATCCTAAGAGAGATTGATTCTTCACAGAAAAAGCTTGCCCAGATGGAGAAAGAGATCCTGGGTTATGAAAGCATCGATCTTTCAAGACCCAATATTGCAAATGAGCTGAAAGAGTTCTTGGCGCACCATGAATTGCCTTTGGGGAAAGATTCAAGAACTGGGATCACCGAAATGATGGCATCTGTGGGGCATTCCTGTGAGAAATCCATGGATTTGTTGTCACAGTATATGAGTTATAAAGTCAACGGGCCTTGCCCTGATGACTGGATCCTTGGCCAGAAGCTGATTCTGCGAGGATGTGAACCTTTGCCGAGGAGGAGGTGTTTTTCAAAGACTATTCCCAAGGTAGATTTGCAGCCTTTCCCTGTTTCAATTTGGAAAAATGTTAGTGAAAAGAGTTTTAGTTGGAGTGGTCTTGGATGCAAAAATCTTGCTTGTTTAAATAGTAAAAAATTGAATAAGGATTGTACTGGTTGTTTTAATATAGTTAATGGTTATGAGACTCAGATTTATGTTAAGGTTAAAGGGAAAAATGATTTCTTGATTGATGATGTTTTGGCTATGGGGAATGGTGGGATTCGGGTTGGATTTGATATGGGTGGAGGGTCCGGGACTTTTGCTGCTAGGATGGCTGAGAGGAATGTGACTGTGGTCACTGCCACTTTGAATGCTGATGCTCCTTTTAATGAATTCATTGCTGCAAGAGGACTTTTCCCTTTGTATTTGAGCTTAGATCATAGGTTCCCATTTTATGATAACGTGTTTGATTTGGTTCACGTGGCGAATGGGTTGGATGTCGGGGGCAGACCAGAAAAAATGGAGTTCTTGATGTTTGATATCGACCGGATTTTGAGGGCTGGTGGATTGTTTTGGGTGGACAATTTTCATTGTTACAACGATGAGAAGAAAAGGGCTCTAACTCGGTTGATAGAACGTTTTGGGTATAAAAAGCTGAAGTGGGTTGTGGGAGAGATAATTAATAGTTCGGGGAAATCAGAAGTTTATTTGTCTGCTGTTCTACAGAAACCTGTAAGGGTGTGATACAATTGATTTTCTTCTGGGAAATTAAGGAGTTAAGAGTAGTATAGCAGCAGTACTTCTTGTCATGTACAAAGGAATTTATCTCGGTCCATTATTTTACTTGATCACCATTTGTTTGTATGACAATAAAGTGAAGTATTTGCAAGCAAGAACGGTTGGTTTTTTCCCCCTGTGAGGTCTGATATCTTTCTCGATGTAATATTTTTCTTACGTATCTGGATAATAAGCAATTAGACATTGAGAAGATCATTTTGTGTTTTATAAATTATTCTGTAACTATTATTAGAATTTTTAGCATTGAGATGAAAGATTTATTTGCATGTATCTTAATTTTTCATTTGAAAATGCCTCGTTTAACAACTGGGAACTAAGATCTTTGTCATGAATGTTTTACGTAGCAGTTAATTTAGTTCTGTTAGTAGAATAGAATGATTGATATCATTTGTACAGCACAGCTTTTTGATGTTTCGTTCTATAGGCCTAATTCTTCTTCTAATGATGATGATGATCGATTCAACCTCTGAGCAATAACATATACCTTTCTTCAACGAGTTGAGTAATGAGCATGATGACCCTAGTGTTTATATGGAGAGAAGAACCTATGATTAGCTTTTCGAGAAATTTCCAAACGAACAATTTGAATGGCTTATTTTACTATGTTCAGCTTTATGTATATGCTTGGAAACAAAAGCTTCTGATTTAAGTTTGGCCAGTGAAATGTATATGCTTGGAAACAAAAGCTTATTAAGTTTAAATTGCTTTTAAGTTCAGCCAAACATGCTGTGAATACTTGATTTCAAGCTTTTTCAATGTGCTCTGGTTGTGTTATTCTTCTGTTCTGCTGACTGGATAAACCATACTTACCAGCTTAAATTATGCCATTACCAGCTTAAATTATGCCCCTGCAGCACAACTTGGTGTGAGATCTAACTTCCACTTGAATTAGCTATAATATGAATACCTAAGCTGAAATGTGAAGTTTTATCTTTCCAAAGTTTCAGATTCCTGAAGCCAACTTGTTTCTTTTTTTATTGGGAGAGATTTTGGCTAAAGTTTACCATCTCCATCTGATGGGATCTCTAAAGATTGCAGATTTAGTGGGACTTAATTGCCTCAAGTCAAATCTTGGGATTGGATCTATTAATGATCTTTGGCGGTTAATCTTCCTAACATCTCCAATGCATTCCGTATATTGCAATTTATGTGGCATATAAATGGAAAGACTTTCGATCTATATGATATTAATGTCTAATGAATAGATGGTTTAATTTAAATTTCATTTATGATGGATTCCATTTAAATTCTAATTTCATGACTAATGTACATTTAGCTCCTATTTGACATTCATTACTTTATTTTATGGTTGCTGCAAGGTCATTTTCAACTAAACATTCACACAATAAAATATTCTACACGTATACCAAATTATTTTTTTCCTACTTTCTGATCACACATTCTTAAAAAAATAATTATTCGAAACTCTTTTTTCTACAGAATGATGGTCAAACAATGAGAGAGATGTCAAATTATAACGTGGCTCGTTTTGTTTAGAAGAGCCTCTACATCATGTTGACAATGTTTACCTTTTTCTTGTCACGTCAATTAGACATGATCATAGATATTAAAAATTCGAGACAAATTCTATAGACATCATCTATTTTAATTTTCGTAACTTTTTTTTTTTTTTGTGTAATTCTCATTAGAAGTGGGAATGCTCTATAACATATATTAAGAGCCACGCTCTCATTGTAATTGTTTTTCTTCATAAAATAAACTTATGATGTCAAGTAGACGTACATATTGAGAGTGAAGCACTTCAAATCGGAACCCATTTATGCTGAAGGAAATAATTTTCATGCTGGCTTCCATTCGATTACATGGCTCTATGCCAATCATAAGACTTCATAAGTTAAAAACGTCTTTTTTATCTCATAGTTCACTCATACATTACAGTCCCACGCATTAAAAAGAAAGCTCTAATATAGTGGCACCACATAACTGAACATCTACCTGTGTCAATTCAACATTGCTTCACGAAATTTGATAAAAACAGATTTCAATAAGGACCTTAAGCAGATCTTCCAATTTCGCAATAAACAGATATACTGCATAAATCAGTTCGGACCATGACGATGGAATCCTCCTCCTCCATCTACCCCTTGCACCACAGCAGAGTTTAAAAGCTGCATTCCCTCTTCACCCATCTGTTGAACTTCCGAGGGCGATAATATTCTGATGCATCTCACACAACCAACAAACTCCCTGCAAAATCACGTCACATGAAATTTTGAAAGAAAATGCGATACAAATCCTTTGGCCACGAGCAAGTGCAGAAATTTACTTTGGTGAACTGATAATACTAAAGAACATAAAGAATTATGCATGAACATTGGAGTACAAGTGGGACTTACTCCCAAGGATCATCCCCAACAAGAAGAACGTCATTTTCGAAATCCACATAAACTAGCTTCCAACCAGAACCAGAGTCGTTGAGCAACCTTTCAAGTCCAAACATGCGTTCAATTTCAGAGCGCAGTTCATCATAATTCTTGAAACTTGAGACATCAATCGACCTTCCAACCGATCCAGCCTTCTGAATCTGTCATTCACCGCAAACTTTGTCACCCGATATAATGTACTGAGTTAACATAGTAAATAGAAAAGTCTAAAATACAAGGCACGAGAGAAGCAAACAGGCAAGGGTATACAGGTCAAATCCAACGTGATGCAGCATTCCTGAAATAAGAATAAAAAAGATTGCTGAGAATTTCTTTTTGTAATAAGTTTCTTACCTTTGTATAGGTACGGAACCTTGGAGTTACTTGCTGCCATGAGCTATTCTGCAAAAGAGTATTGTCATCAAAGTCCGCATTGTTTGAGGATGCCCCGCCTGAATTGTCAGCATATTCTTGCAGAGAGAAAGTCTGAGAATCTACTAGACTAGCTGATGTAATCTGAGATTGAACATCTTGGCTCGAACTGAAGTTTCCCATGAGATAATCTGAAGGATTATGGAAGCCAGCATTCTTTAGCGTGCAAAAATCATCCAATATTGCGTTCGAAATGGAAGGATCAATAACTGTACTTCCACTGTTATTACCGTCAAGATTAGGACAATTGTATATATCACTCTGGGCATGGCTCTCTTCTGACAAGTCTTTCAAGCCATATGAACTAGATGCATACTGAAGATTAGATAAGTCATGATGTGGTGATGGATCAAGAAGGTTTTCCTGGGAGGCACACTTGGGATTGTTTAACTGAGGATCCCACAATCCTTGTCCTGTTGAAGGCAGTACAGGACAAACAGTTTCTGCTGACGTAGTAGTCTGGTCAGATCTCTTCAAAATGGATGAATATCCCGGAGTGCTAAAAGATGCAGTCGGAGGATGACACACGGGCATGTATGAATTGCATTCTACCCGACCAGGGTTTTGAAGCAAGCTATTGATATTAGCAGACTCTAATTGGGATAAATCACTTTGTGGACTCTGCAATACTTGAGACTCCAGACGTGATTGCATGATCCAAGGATTCGTTTGCAAAGGTAATGAGCCACTGTTCTGGTTCAAAATTGCAAGATCAGCTACAAGATTATTAGGATTAGTAGGCTTCACCGATAGCTTGTCTTCATTGGTCGGCCCTGGCCCCTGTGATTCAAACTGGCTTAGCTGATTATTAGCAAGTACAGGTTCTAATTTTTCCAATTCTGAATTAGTTCCATAACTGTTCGAGTTGGTGATATTTGGTTGGCCAACTAAGCTTTGAGGATAAGTTTCTCTTTGCAGTGATGCCATTTCTGGATGGATCAGCTCAGGTTTCTGCCTGATTTCTGATTGCATTAGAGCCTTAGATTCTTGCAAGGCAGCATCATTAATGATAGTTTCTAGCATAGAAGGTGCAACATTGCCAGGATGGCTTACTCCATGAGGCTTCATAAGCATCTTCATTAATTGCTCTGACCACAGGGTTGATACTGAGGAATACTGAAAGTCCGCGTTTCTATTTTCAGGAACTTGAATGAGAGGTCCATTAATCAGACTATCCCATTCTGTTTGTGCTCCTGTTATAGAAAAATGTACAGTGCATCAAATTCATGCCAAAGTCGAGCAGCAGAAGTCATTTTGAATGACAATCAACTACCTATGAACGCAGAGTGGAAAGGGCGTTTGAAACTTGCAGTTAAGGATGGAAATACAAAGAGACTTTCAGGAGTCTCGATTTCCCATGGACTAACTCGATTCTGTTTATCACCACATCCAGGCTCATCCCACTCAACCTGTTACCAGAGATGACTATCTAGTCAAAAACTAAAAGTCAGGAGAATGTGCCTCTGGAATTGTTTATCAGAGAGGTTCACATCAAACATTGAGGGTACAAATATCATACTAGGGGAAATAATCTAATGGCAATGACACGCTTTACTCACCTGAAGACTACGCCACTTTGAATTAGGCCATCTGAGAGGATCTAAGTCACTTATTCCAACAACAGTGCCCATATATCTGTTAAGGAATAGAGAAAGGCTTTAAAAAAAGGATCAAAAAAGGCTACAACAAACAGATATACGTGCATTATAATATCTACCTGCGTTTACTTGATTCTTCAGTTTCAAACATCATTCCGAACCTCATACCAACGGAGAGTTGTGTACCATATACAGCTTTTCGATATTTAGCCAAAGGAATGATAAATTCCGAAGGGCATGCCCTGCAAATAATAACAATTGCAACATAATCAAGTTACTGAATTGGTTTTATCTTAGGGCCCAAAAGGTGTATCTGAGGTACCTTGGATTGTAAAAAACAGTAAACGGACTTCTATTAGCAGCAGCATGAGCTGCTGCAGCAAGGATTCCAATGTGCATGCTATCAGTGGACAGCACTGAAGATGGCAAAGCTGTTTGCTGACGGTTAACACGCCTAACTCCCAGCAACAATTGAGATTTTTCATTCCTATCACAGGAAGCAGAAAAAATTATAGCAAATCTCAAATAATACACCCTCCATCAATAAATTTAATCATGGGAAAAGTACTTTAAGCAAAGCGCATACAAGAAGTACCTGATAAATAGAACAGCATCACCTGCTCTAAGCCGCTTTGCACCGACAAACATACTCCAACCAGTTGTGAGTAGATGTCTCTTTGGCTGACCTACACAAGATAGAAATTAAAAAAATAAAAAATAAAAAAAAATCCATAAAATTAGAATGCTTACCTCGGTATATATGACGAAAAGTCCACGTATTATCATGCAAATCTCGTACAACAAGCTCCTGAGTTGGAGGTTGCATCGAGTAGTCCTGAAACAGACAGATTTCACAAATGGTTGCATTAAAAGGCACATTAGATTAAAGTGACCATATGACAACAGAAACGAATTCTTTCAGAAATAAAAAAAACTTCACCAATTGGGGAAAGAGCTTTTCTGCAGCCCTCCGAGGAACTGAGAAGCCACCATGTGTGCTTGTATCACTTGCCGTCAAAGTTTTGCAGAAGAACTCGGTTGGATGTTTGCTAGGCTTTAGCCCAAAATCCGGTATGGGAAAAACATCTTTTTCCTGATCAAGTAGAAAGCTATCACTTCACAGAAATGACAAAATGTTCTGAAGAAAAATGACAGTCACAATTCTTTATCATGTAATATATTTGCTAGTTTCATAAACTAATAGTATGCTAATAAAACTAGTTAAAGTAGCCGAGCTTACAGAGTTCACAGGTTGAAGGCTCATTTGGGCATATATCTCGTCTGTATCTTTATCTGCCTATTGATCACAAGAAAGTCAAGAGAACCATAACTATTCCAAGAACCGAATGCATGTTTATTTCAGCATATAATACTTTTTACTGCACTGAAAAAAAAAAAAAGAAAGAAAAGACATACATGGAGTGTAACGTTGTGAACTTGGCACAACAATTGAGCAGGGAGATTAGGATAGTTGGGTATTTGTGAAGTTGCTGTTCTATTGGTGGAAACTGCCACCTGTTGCCCAAAAACGAGAAGAATATTAGCTGTTACCTGAGGTATTTCGTAACTAGAGGAGACAAAGTCATATCAAATTGAAGATAGAACTCCTAACAATATATTGATAGGATAGACATAATTTTCTGTGTCATATACAGTTTAATGACATCCAACACTATAGTATAAACACTAATATATAAATTGTCTACAGAGCTAATAAGTATTTCTTTGTTCCCTTTTTGACTCTTTCGGATAATAAAAGCAAAATAGAGAAAGTGAGAGATCCACGATCCAAGTAGCCGGAAAGAAAACATTGTCCTGGAAATCTGTAAAAGCTTAAAAAGGAGAAAGAAATCGAGCCATGGTGTTCTCGAAAATTATAAGGGTTCGTAATACAATTTTGATTTTCAACATTCAGGCGTAGATGAAGAATTGCTTGTCCTTGGATTCATTCCTTCTCAACTTTATACTGATTCTTCATTTTCCCATAACCAAAACGGAATTGAAAAAATTTCTCACCTGCATTTGCAAGATGCTAGAAGTCAATAATTAAGCCCCTATTTGAGCCACATTAAAATTTTCATTCTCATTTTTCTACTCATTTTCAACCACACATTTTTCAATAAAATAATATTTTCCATCACATCAATAATTTTTCCTTTTGTTCAACCACACGCTCTCCATCAATATACTATTCCAAAATACATTCTTCCAAAATAATGTGGCTTAAACACACCCTAAGAAGCCTTTTTTTGTATTTACGCCAGTTTACACATTATTTGTCAAGTAACACTCCTTAAGACAAAATCTGCAAACTCCAAAAGTAAGGGCAGACACGTCTAGGAGAATGATTTTATCTCATCGCTTGTACCTCATATAACTCATTTCAATTTATCATTTTTATTAACTATTCCGAACAACTGAACTTTACAACTTCAGGAAAGATGAGTAACTTAAAGACGGTTTGATCAATTCTGCAACCCCCTCGACAAACTTGAAGGATCCTAGCTGAGAATAAAAGAATTACAAGGAAAGGCATGGGAAAAAGGGGGGGAGCGGGAATTCAACCAAATTACCCATTAAATTTTCAAGAATATCTAACACGATTTATCCTGGAGCAATATGCATGGAATTAAATTTATTAAATCCAACAAAAAATTATCCCCAACAAACAATTCAAGAAAGTAAACCCCATATCATCATCCTCTTCCAACTTACATTTTTGGCACACTTCATAAATTTAACTTTCTTCCTGAAGAGGATTGATTTCATTAGATTGCTTAACACAAGTCCATAGAGGAAAAAACAGTAAATAAAGGCAAAAGGGATTTAATTTCCACTAAACAAACCTGCTCACTATGTCCTTGAGGAAAATAGTGCACCAGGCTTCCAACCTGAGGCAAGGTAACCAATGGACCAGCACAAGCATGCCATAGCTCAGAATTTATTGTCTTCCTTGTCCCTGCAGTAAATCAAGTTAAAAAAACAGTAAGAATTCAGAGATCACAAGAAATATGAATCAAGAATCTTTACCCATGAATCTTAAAAGTTTTCACTTTCACTTAAATCCAATTAGCATACAGTCTACTACTAAAACAAATCTATGCCAGATATAAAATATTGGAGTAAGAAAACAGATGAAATTAACTAACCAGAATGATCCTGCATTTCCTTCAACAGTTTCATCTCTTCTAGCAGATTATGCGCCCCACCAACCAAGCCTCCAGGTTTCAACTTTTTTTGAACAGAACACATGTATCTAGGGCCTTTTCCTTTCTTACTTCAACCCCAAAAACACTCTGAAAGAACCCATCTTTTTATCAACCAATCAATCAAAAAGACAGCATCTTTCCATCCAAAAATCACACTTCTTGAAAGAAATCAAAAGGGGCCTTAAAGAAAGGAATTACATGGTTATTAGGAGGGATAGAGAGAAATAGAGCCAAGAAAAATATTCAGGGAATCTAGAACCAAGAGAGGAACCAATCAAATTGGACAGAGAGCATGCCCCAGAAATCCAAAGCCAAGGAATAAAACACACCGCAAAAAGTTACTGAAAAATCTAAGTGGGGCTTCCTCTTCTCCTCCTCACTCCATCAACAGCAAAAAGGAAAAGCTAAAAATTACATAGTAATATAATTTAGAGGGGTCAGTTTTTTTTTGCCATCAAAGCACGCGGATCAAGGCATGAGTGGTAGAATTATCAAGTGTTCGCCTTTTTTGCTCCCTTTTCCTCTTTATATTTTATCAAAAGAAATTGACCTTTCAAAGGAAGAGTGCCCTTTAGGAAAACAAAAGCCTTTCTCTTCGTCCTTTCTCCATCAACATAACAGCATAAGTTTCAATCTTTTTCTTTCTCTTATTTTTCCCCTTTTCATCTTCTCTTTTCTTTACATCATAGGTTTGTATCTGAGTTTTTATTTTTTTTATTGAGTGGCTTGCTTGAAACTGGCAAGTGTGTCCGAGCTCTTAACCTGCTAACACACTTGCTGATTAGTTGTTCTGCAGCTTCTGCTGCAGCTTTAGACTGAGACAAAACTGGAGCTGAAGAAATAAAAAGGAAAAAGTGTGCACAAACAGAGCAATGCAATTCCCACACGAAATCGTACTCGCCCAAGCAGAGAAAAAGCCAGATTATATTAAATTAAGGAAATAAAAAATAGACAATCTTTGCTTGCATACATAGGACACTCCAATACATAAATAATTAAAGGATTTTATAGTCATAGGATTAAATGCTCATTTTCCTTGAAATCTAGTGTTGTAGGTTTAATATTGTTGCGTATGAAGAAAATAAAAATTGATAGCGATGTTAGTCGTTTTAAAGCATCAATGGTCATTATTGATGACTTTTAATGCACTTGAGACTGTAATATTTATTAAAGTAGAAATTATTAATTATTCTTTAGGGACGTCGATCTTATTCTAATTAAAATTAAGACTTCGAAAAATTTCCTTCGTCCTTTCTTGTAGTTATTGGTCTTGGTGATTAGATTTGTTGATGTATATTATCATTTTTTTTTTCTTTCATAAAATAGAAATTTGATTGTGTCTTATGTATTAGTTAACTTTTAAGAAAAATGGCTGCTCTTTTTACATCACCAAAGATTACGATACCAATATACTCTTTTTAAAAGTTAGTGTCCAATTTGTTACTAAAGCAATATAATAGATACCAAGGGTGCAATTTTCTCTAGTAACGGTGAAGTAGAGATAGAGACAAAAGATAGGCGCATTTTAGCACGTGAACGACGAGGTAGATGCTAAGAGTCCATTTCTTTCTTATTTTTAGGCGCATTATGACAAGTTTTTTGCAAAATTTTGATAAATAATTTGGGTTGTTGACAAGTTCATAAAATTATAGTTCCCTTTAAATGCAGTGTTCTAAAAAGTTCGTATAGCCATCATCTAGATTCAAAGTTCAAACAAAACGCCTCGCTTCGCGTCTGTCGCTTTTTTTCTAATTTTTAAATTGTTGAGTTTTTTCCTTCCTTTCTTTTCGTCTTTCCTAAGTTTATTTTATTTTATTTTTTCAAAAAAAAATTGCTTGACTTTAGTTTATTAATTTTTTTAATTAAATAAAATTTCAGTTGACTTTAATTTCAAGTTTTTAAAAGATTTTATCTATACAAAAGTTAAAAATGATTTTATGTAAATAGCTAAATAAGATTTAAATTATCGTGCTATCTACATTATGTAATTATGATTTTGAAACTCGTTATTTGTTGCAAACTTCAAAAGTATGTATGAAATTTCTATAAATTTATTAGGTAGGACTTGTCTAGTTGAAAATTGAAACTATGAAAAATATTTTAATTTTTTCATTTCGAAAACTTAAAAAATTATATAATTGACTAATGGTAAAAAAAATTTAAGTAAATATAGTATTTTATAATTTTAAATGTTTGATATGTATTATTTTAATTATTAAATAATTTTAAAAATGATTAAAGATTTAAAATAATATTAAAAATAAGAAAACATTTTTTTACGCCTAATACTCACCTAGACTCATTAAATTCGTAAAGATTGAAGTTTCGCATCCACGCCTAATCACGTTTTACGCTTTTTAAAATATTATTTAAATGTGTCAATTAAATTAGTTATTAATTTTTATCTCAACTTTTTAAGTAATATCAAATAAGTACTTAGACATTTATAATTATCGAGTTTCTCTTTAGTGGGTTTCTAATGCTTGATAGCACTGAATTGGCTACCAACATTTTTTTTTGGCATAAGATAGGTCCTACGCGGGACCCACCTCACATAAGATAGGTCCCACGCGGGACAAAACCCCTACACCCTCTCACATGAGATAGGTCCCACGTGGGACCCACCTCAATAAAAAAGTAAAAAAAAAATTACGCACACCCTATGTGTGTTATCGGTGGGGGTTCTATACATGACGCATGATTGAATGGACTCACCTCAATAAAAAAATTACACACCCTCTATGTGTGTTATCGGTGGGGATTCTATACATTAAGCATGATTGAATGGGTCCCACTTCAATAAAAAAGTAAATAAATTACACACCCCCTATCTGTGTTATCGGTGAGGATTCTGTACATGAAGCATGATTGAAAAGCAAAAACTTGACACGTCATGTGTGCTACTGTGTTCAATTTCATCAGGGTCGTTAAGAGCTGTTTTCCTGTTCTTTACATGAAAGTTCTTGGTGTTCTCTTTAGATATTTACTTCTTTTTATTGTTTCCCAAGAGAATTTTGCAAGCATTTTAAGGAATAATACTAAAAACACAAATTAATAATTGTGTACAATGTTTCAATTTGCATATATTTGGCAGGTTCGTTAATCCATGTTTGATCCTACTAAAAATTTAGATTAAAATTTAATTCAAAGTCAACAATTTATTTTAAACACCTATTTCACGGGGATCCACAATTTTTCAAACACTTCATCATTTTTTTTGTCAAAATCTACCAAAAAATTTTATTTTTATTTAAACCAAACATGAGCGTAATTATTTTCAAGAATTTAACAATCTCATAGTCATACGTCTAACATATTCGTAAAGCACAAAACATCTCATAGTCATACGTTTAACACATTCGTAAAGGTCAATTTAGACAACTAAAATAGGACCGGATGATGAATGAAAATTGTGCCAATAATTTAGATTCTTAAGTGCAGAAGATTGCAAGAAAAATGAATTGCGTTGAAGGGAAAAGGAGTGGGAGCAAAGAAAAGGATTTTCAACCTACTTTAGTCATAAAGGGAAAACAAAGACAAATTTGGCACAAATATTTATCCTTCCAAATCCACCTTGAAAAAATAATATATGTTTCTCTGGAAAGGATTGATAAATAATTGAAAGGAGTTTATTCGAGCTTCAATATAATCTTTTTTTCATGTATCATAATTGCAGATAAATAAACCAAGTGGTGGATTGCCTGTGTACCGAGTTGGACAGTCGTGGGTTGTTAAGGAATATAAATTCGATATGTTATTGCTATTACGTGACATGAAGCAAGTAGATCGAGAAGCTTGTACTGTAATATTTATAATGTTAGTAATCGATTCCAATGTTGATCAGGGCAATTTTATTTTTCTTATTTGATATGTCTCAATAGACTCGATCCATTTTACCCCTTTAAATGAAACATTCAAGTCGTCGTGAAAATTGTAAGACTAGAAACATGTTGAATATCAAACATCAATGTAACATGATAGAGCTTATATTTGTGACCAGAATGAAGAATTGTATCGCCGTGTGAAAATCAAACTCTATGACACCTGAAAATAAATGGAAGGCGTGATTATTCAACTTAGCTTGGATGTATATGATAAATTTATCTAGCATTAAATGACTACGCAAAAATCTCAAGTGTTTGGGGATCTACGACCTAGTTAACAAAAATTAGCAAAATTAAGTCTTGATATGAAAGTGACGCTTGTCATAAGAGTTATGCCGAATCAATATGTATTATTTTGGATTCCTAATATGATTCAAAGGGTTAAGAGAGGATGGTGTGATAAGAGCTGCAAGCATGACTAATCACTCAATCACGTTTATCAATGACATTGATACTCGTATAAGTGAATTTTACGACACCAACAATATGATATATTTTTATTATAACTATTATCCGAGTTGGTCAATATCCATAATTATCATGGCTAAGAAAAATTAAATAACCATTTCATTAGTTCCCTACATAACAAAAAAATGAATTATAAATTAGGGTATGATGAAGAAGGTCATATAAGATTTCAAATCAAGCAATGAAAGATAGCAGCATGTTTTGACCCCCATTGACTATGGTAAATAATAAAGGCTATCATATGGTATCATATCATTTGCATTTGCATTCACTTTACTAATAAGTTGACAATATTTTATTATTTTTACTCGCGTGATATCGAATTGAGCTTATAATTTTATCGGTAAGTGAACCCTAGCTCAGTGAGCATTGAGTGTTTAGTTCACATTATTTTTTTCATTCTCATTCTTCTACTCATTTTCAACCACACATTCTTCAATGAAATAATATTTTCCATCACGTCAATAACTTTTTTTTCTTTTTCAACCACATATTTCTCATTATATCAACAGTAAAAATGAATTCTTACCTTCAAAATGTGCACCAAACGAGGGCTAAATTTTAAAGCACTATCAGTGTTCTAAAAAATTGAATGTTTCTTTTTTCTTTGGGGTGGGACCAATTTATATTTGGACATACACTCATGGGAGAGTAAATAAGTCAATTAAGTGTATGAACTTTGTGGAACAAT